TGCTATAGGGCGCATGTGCTCGCCAGACAGACAGAGAGAGACATAGAGACAGAAAGCGAGAAATCACCCCTCAGGGGGGATGGTCACACCGCAATCCCTTCTCCTCCATTCTCCTCTCGGGATCTTGGGCAAGCACGCACACGCGCCCGGCGTGAGTTTTAAGCCACCGGGTCCAGGACGCAAACCGCGGTCGACTACGTGGGAGTCCAGCGACATAGCCATTACGCTAACTGCTGGTTCCCTTCACTTTATTTTTGATTAATCCTAACCTGTGCCTGGTTATTTTTATGGAATTGTGAACATATACATGAAAATTTTTGGAAGTAATTTAAAGGTTTGATTGATGTAATCATACTCCAGAGAGGATTTATCTTACTCCTAAGAGGAATTTCAGATAGTGGCAGACTACCTCTGCCCACTTGGGAATTTAGCTTATTCAAATTAGGTCTTTGTGAGGGATGATTTTGGGGAGGGAGGGGGAGAGATTTTTGCTATAGGGCATGTGCACTCACCAAAGAGTTAGAGAAAGACAGACAGAAAGTGATAAATCACACCCCCCAAAGAGGGATGGATGACCACACTGCAACTTCTTCTCCTCCATTCTACTCACAGGATTTGAGGCATGCACACACACATGCCCTGCATGAGTTTAAGCTGCTGGATCTGGGACTCAGACCACAGTTGACTATGTGGGAGTCCAGCGATGTAACCATTATACCATCTGCTGGTACCAAGGGATGACATCTTATTCCTAGATGAGGGCCTCAACTGGCAGCCTAGAGTATATGCCAGGTCTCCTTTTCTTGGTAGGCCAACTGCCAACCTCTGTTTAGTTTTTCAGTCTCCCAGAAAATATCTCAAACTACAAAACTAAATGTTGGACTTTGGAAGACTAAAGTTTTTTACTTAAGTCACTGAGATGGGAACTCAAAAATGGCTTCTGATTTAAGTTTTGGATGTCTTGATTTTTAAAGTTTATTTAGTTATTTTTTAAGAGTGAGAAAAAGAGACACATTTCCAATAGGGTTTTCACACTATGACCAACCCCAGCCCTCGAGCCTCAGGCAGCCAGGATCTCAGGCATACATGCACATGCCCACTGTGTGCAGGGAAGCCTCAGATATGACCCAGGGACTTTTCCATGTGGCTTCATCATCACTGAGTGTTGAATTACCACTTCACCACTGTGGTTGGCCAGATGTGTTAATTTTGAGAATTGTTTAAGAAATTCAAGTGGATATATACTATAAGCAGCTGGACATCGGCCTGTGACAGTTGGGCAGGGTATGATAACATTAAGAAAACTATCAAAAGAACAGATAGCTGACTAGAACTAGGCGAGCACCCAAGTCTAAGAGAGTGAGCAGCAAAGAACAGGGTGATTCTTGCCTACTTCCTCGTGGAAAGACTGCATGTGGGGTTGGACTGTCTGGGGGAATTTTTCAGTAGTTCAACAAAGCCAAAAACATTGACCCAGCCCCCACCTGCTTCCTTCCAAGGTCCACACGGAGTGTCCTACAGGGACACGACCTGCTGCTGCACTCAGCCCTCCGGAGGCTGGCCCTTCGTGGCAGCGCTGTCACCACCCTGACCCAGATGAGGCTTTCTGGGAAGAAGAGTCTCCTGCAGGAGCTGCGTGAGCAACACGCATTGGAGCAGGGCTCCTCCCAGTGCCTGGATGAGCACCAGTGGCAGCTGCTCAGAGCCCTGGTAGGATCACATGCCAGCCCCCACCCTTCTCAGGCAGGCATCACCCTTCATCAAGTCTCAGGGACCAGCCATGTCTGCCAAAACCTGAATCCTGCCACCCTGTTGTTGCAAGGTGGTGTGCTCCTTTATGAGGGCTGCTGTAGACTGAGTGGCTTCAACACTAGACATTTATTTTCTTAGTGTTAAGGACAAGGCATCACCAGAGTTGGATATTTCTGAGGCCTTTGTCCTGGGCTTGTAGCTGACTCTCTTCCCCTGTCTCTTCACATGGTCTTTTTCCATGTAAGTCTATGTCCTTATCTCCTCTTCCTTTACAGATACCAAGTCTACTGTATTAGGGCTCACCCTAGTGACCTCACTGTATTTTAATTACCTCTTTAAAGACCAGTCTCTCCATACTGTCACGTTCTGAGGTCCTGGGGTGAAGACTTCAGCATATGTATTTAAAAGGGATACAGTGTAACCTATAACAGGTGTGGGCAATGGCAGCCCCATGCAGAGGACACCTGTATGTTGAAAGGTTCTAGTGCCAGTGACGTAATAATAATAATAATCCTGAAAAATCCATATGAAATCAGAGGGAGATGGTACAGGTGTCATCAGGAATGTGGGAAAAGAGGCCTTTATAATCTCTTCAAAGGATTTCACAGATTGAAAGAACGAAACTGTAAATTGCCAAGCTGGGATGTAAGCCCAACTAGGCTGTAGGCTGACTCCAGATCATACACTTAGGTGGCCCCAAGCTAGAAGAGCAGCCAGCTTTGACCCATGTGTGAAGCACAAGCTAATGTCTCTTCAGCTCTGCCCAGCAGGTAGAACTCGCTGCTCTAACCCCAACTCCCCTTACTTCATTCTCTCTTCTTCCTCCAAAGAAAGCTGGTCCCAGAGCCTGTGTGCCTGCCTCAGTTTCTGTGATATCCTCAGAGATTACTCTCAGATTCAGATCTCTTTCCAAAGCTAGCTCTGCTCTGACTGTTAGAACGTTACTTAACTTCTCTGTGCTTTCATGTCTTACCAGTCCCAGTGTTCAGGCCTCATTCCGTGTGTTCTAAAAGGATGAGCCAGACACCCCTGTCCTGTGAGGGGCCACAGGTGACACTGAGCACACAGCTGGTGCTCTTCTTTTTAAATGCCTTTCTTCAGAGGGACCTTCAACAGACACCTGGACTCATCCATGGTGTTTTGGGTTTGCCAGCCCAGAAGCCAACTCCTTCTACCCTTCTCCATCCCTTCCCTAAACTTGGGGCCTGGGTAGGACCTACCCTAGGTCTGGGACTTAGCAAAAGCTCGTCTGTGCAGGGGCGATAGTGTGGCCACTCCCTGTCCCGGACCCTTCCTTCCCAGGAGGCTCGTGTCCTGGAGGAGGCTGGCAGGCTAGAGGAGGAGGCTCAGCAGACCCGGTTGCAGCTTCAGCAGCAGCTCCTGGCTGAGGCCCAGGAAGTCGGGCAGCTCCTGCAGCAGCTCACAGAGCGAGCTATCGGGCAGGCGCTGCTGGGGAATGCACGGAACACAGCCACCAAGAGCCGGGCCAAGGACAGGGATGACTTTAAGGTTGGTACCTGGGGCAGCCGACGGGCGGGGAGGATGGGGTGTGGTGGGTCAGAAAGCCTGGACCTTGCCATCCCCTTCACTGAGAGCATCCAGCCTTGCAGAGTTTCCCGACTTCTCTGAGCCTCATTTTCTCACTTCCAAGGTAGGATCTTCTCCCTCAGGATGGTGAGGATCAGTCACAGCAGATGGCAGGTCTGCGGCTAATTGGCCCGTGTGGATTGTGGTGCACACTCGCCCAGTCCTTCCAGCAGCCCTGAGACAGAGGTGGTTTCACCCTGGGCCATTCAACCAGTCAGTGGCAGAGCCAGGATCCAAACCCCAGTCCCCATCCCAGAGGCACACATGTGCTTGCCTGGACCCTGGCTGGCTCCGCTGAGACCCTGAGGCTTTTCAGCGTTAACTCTGCCAGCTAAGCAGTGCTGCTAATGTCAGTCTGACTCGAGGGGGTCGCAGTCCACACCCTCCACTGACAACCATCATAAGCAGCATGATAGCAACGGCAACAGGAAGAAGTCCCATTAGCCTTGCACTTAGGTTTGGCCGGTGCTTTTGCTGACCTTATCTTGTTGCGTTCTCCCCACAACCACTCCAGGCAGAGGATCGTTTTTATTCCCCCAGGAAAACAGGTTTATGACCGAGCAAAAGATATGTCTAAAGCCTTCCAGTTTGCACACGGCAGAGTTGGGGCTGGAGCCTGGTCTTCTGCAGCGTGACTGGCTCATACTCTGTGCTGGTGGCCACCCACCTCCAGAGTTAAAGGAAGGTGAGATAGCCCTGACACACACACTCTGGCACATCTCTGCAGAAAGAGTATCCGTGGCTGGCAGACACCAGAGGTGTTGCAGACCTGCGGCCAGCAGGCAGCCTTCATGTTGTGACATGCCGGGCACTCCAGGCAGCTTCGATGGCTGCATCGCTCTGCTTATCTGCACAGCAAAGAGGTCAGGCCCACGCTTCTGTGACACCACACCTTATTTCAATATTTCATGTCTGCTGCAGGTCATCCAGACATCAGGGCTGTGCCTCCCTGGTGATACTGGAAATGCCACCCTCCTTCCCTAAAACTCTACACATTTTATCTAATAATAAAAGGAATGCGCATTATGAAAAAATGTGCTTGGATTGCAAAAATTGTTCTGCATCAAAATTAACTTTTTGAAGAGGTTTGTTTTTGCTATAGGACGTGTACATCGCTGGAGAGACATAGAGACAAAAAGTGAGCGATTACCCCCACCCGCCAAGGGGATGGCCATGCTGCAATCCCTTCTCTTCCACTCTCCTCTTGGGATTTTGAGCATGCACACACACACGCACACACGCACACACACACACACACACACACACACACACACGGTGCCCAGCATGAGTTTTAAGTTGCCCAGTCTGGGACTCAAACCACCGTCAACCACATGGGAGTCCAGCAATGTAACCATTATGCCATTTGCTGGTCCCTAAACTTGAACGTTTAATCCACTTCTCCGTGAACTTTTTGGAATCCTCATAAATACACATTGCATGAAAAAGGAAAAAGACATAAGGATGGTGTATTTGTGCTCAGCTTCCCAGAGGGACTTTGAGTTGAGATTGAAGGATGATGTATTTTGTGATCAGCTTCCCAGAGGGACTTTGAGTTGAGATTAGAAAGTGGGTACCCATCACACACACACACACACACACACACACACCCCTACAAGAAAACACAGGTCAGTGTCTAGAAAAATGCCCATTTATTCAAGCTCTGTTCATGGAACGTCTCACCTCAGGCCCTGTAGTAGGTGCAGGGGATAGAAAGTGGGCAAATGGATACATGTCTGCCTTCCCGGGGTTTACAGTCTAAGGAGAGAGAGGGCCAGGGTGGAAGAAATGGCCATGCCTGTCACGGGGAAGGTCTGCTGAAGGGGAGCGGAGAGGCGGGCAGTACCCGGAGGGGTCAAGGGCGGGTTGGAAAATGGGAATACCAGAGCAGGTGTGTTTCCTAATGGGAATGGACACTCCAGTGAGGGAAAAAATGTGAAAGGGTGACCGAGGTCTAAGGCGGTCCTGGAGAAAGAAGGAGAGCTGGGATGCAGGAGTGGGCATCTGCCGCTGGGGCAGAAAGACGTGAACAGAGGCTGTGAGGATGCTGACCTGAGGGAAGGCGGGCAGGGGAGAGGGAGGGAGGAAGGGAACTTTCTGCTCCTGGCTTTCCTAGTATGGAAACTCGCAGAGCAGGAGCTCCTGACAAGAAGCGCGAGGCTAGAATCAGAGTCCTTGGAAGGTGGCATGGAGCCCGTCTGTAGATGCAGAAGTCAGGCCGAGGGGAAGGGAGGACCCGCTGCAGACAGGGATGCGCAGGGGTTTGGGAGTGAGAAGGCAGCTCTAACTTGCTCTGTCGCCCCAGGCTGTACCACCCTTCGCCCCATAGCCTCAGGCCCACACCTGCAAGACCAGTGCCACTCTCAGAGGATACTGTCAAGAGTGAGAGAGTGGCCCGCCTCGAGAACACGGCCAGCCAGTAACAGCCACACATAAGTGAATGCTAAAGCCTGGTACGACCCGAGCAGGGTTTGCTGAAACAGGGACTCTGGTCGTTGGTCATATCACAGAGCCTCTGTGCCAGCCTGCAACCATCTACCCCACGTGTAGATTCTTTCTGAGCCACCGTGCTTACTATTAATTTGTTGCCTCACAGCCACTGCCTCTCCAGGCATTAGGTCAGCATTCCAGGCAGGAGTGAGACATGGCAAAGTCTTTCACCCACCCAGGCTTTCCCTCAGTGTCCAGAAAGGGAAGGCCTCCCCAGCACACTGTCCCGAATTTTGCACTTCATTGACCAGAACAGGGTCATACGGCCAGCCTTAGGCCATCCCTCATCTAGGAAAATGAGGCTGTCGGGACTCCTTTAAACCAACATGCACGCTCTACCTGCGCCCTGAGCAGTCCAGGCAGGCCAGTGGTAGAAGACATGAGCCAAGGCAAGGGGGCAGGGGGCCGGATCGGCCAGGGGAGTCTGTCCACTGTCACATCCTCCCGTGTCCCCACAGAGGACGCTGATGGACGTGGTGGTGGAGAGCGTCTATGTGACCAGTGCTGGCGTCGGCCGCCTGGTGCAGGCGTACTACCAGCAACTCGGGAGGGCCATGCAGGACCACGAGGAGAGGAAGCTGCAGCGACTGAAGGCCCTGCAAGGTAGGCGCTCCGTGGGCACCCTGGGGAGGCCGGCCGGGCACGCTTTTAGCCGCATGGCTGGGACATCAGGTATTCCCTGTATTATTTAGGAGAATTTAATTTCTTAATTTTTTAAATGTATTTATCCTCTGCTTTGTCCCCAAGAGCCTTTTTTTTTTGAGATTTTTGCAATATGGCGTGTGCACTGGCCAGAGAGAGAGAAAGCGAGAAATCACCCCCTCCCCCCAGGGGGATGGCCACACCACAATCCCTTCTCCTCCATTCTCCTCTCGGGATCCTGGACATGCATGCACATGTGCCCAGCGTGAGTTTTAAGCCAAGGTCAAACTATGGTGGACCTTGTGGGAGTCCAGCGATTAGCCATAATGCCATCTGCTGGTCCCCCAAAAGGCTTTTATAAAGGCACTTAAAGAAACATTTGCATACAGTACAATAGATGTTTTTCTTTCTTTCATCTGAGAGCGAGAAAGGCAGAGAGACAGGCACCCTTGACAGGGTCTTGCCAGGCCAATCTTCTCGCCTCTGCCTTCCAACCAGGCAGGATTGTGGGCACACCCACGGGTGCCCCTACAGTATTCACTGACCTGAGGTCTGGACTGGGGCCTTCTGCATGGCTTCAGTATCCTGCAGTGGTGCTGGACTACCTGCAGCACTACAGCTGGGCCCAACGAGTTTTATTGAAGTAGATAAATCAAGATGGGGGTGGAGAATGAGAAGGAATCAGGGAAAGGTCTTTTCCTGGGAAATAGGACAGCAGGTCCTGCTTAAAGGTGACATGATTTTGTCTGCGAGCTTCCTGGTGGCCAAAGACATAGAAACTTCCCAAAGTCACTGAGTGACCATGCTTATAAGAGCAGGCCAGTGGCCCTGTAGGAGACTCTTCAGACTCCAAGAATGTTCTCCCCTGGGCTCCTGTAAAAGGCCAGCCAAGTCAATGAGGTAGACCATACTAATAGCATTAATAACATAGGAGAGCCAGCTTCTTAAAGGACACTCGTATGACTACTGGCCCTGCGTCTGGAGCTTCAGAACAGGACGGCATCCCACGTTCCCTGACAGGCTGCAGCTGACGGCTCAGGCCGGAGTCACACCTGACCTCTGAGGCAGGAACTGGGCAGGCTTCGCTGAATACTGGCTCTCAGCTCAGTGTAGCTTCCAGTTTTGTATTCCTCTATCCTGGGGAACTTGAGGCCTAGATTCAAATAAAATCTCGGCACATGACACGAGCAGATCAGATGGCTACAGAGTCTATTATGGTTTTCCAGAGGAAGAGTTGTGCTCACTTGGCAGGAGACAGATTGCTACCACTGCAGAGCATTCGGGAACCAGGGCATATAACTTCTCCTCGCCAGGCCTCAGTTTCCCATCTGTGGGACTAGGCTTGACCTCACCCTCCATGCACCTTCTCAGCTCTACTTTTCTGCTTGACACCCCAACTCTAACATGGGGGTTTCATGGTAAACACATAGAAACAGTGCCCCTTAGTCAAGCACATGAACTCCTTTTTCTCATTCAGGAAGTGGTTTTATTTCAGTCACAGAATGCCGCGCCCCTAAGAAGCCTTACAGGCTAAACCTCCCTGGACATGTAGAAAGCTCAGGGGCCTCAGACATCTCGCAGCCGGTTACCTGTGGGGCCTGCTGCTGCCTCTCCTGGAACCCTGCTGGCTGAGACAACCCACCCAGTGAATTGTTTCTCCTTTATGCTGTGGCTTAAGCTCCGTGCAGCGGCCTCTTCCTGCCGAAGCTGTCTCGGTCACCCTCCTTTCTCTCGATACTTATAAGAAAACTGGTGACAGAGCAGAGGCCAGAGCCCTGCCTGAGTTTCCTTTTAGATGCCTAGTCTGGGAGCGCCTGATGGTGGAAGCTGTGACAGTCTCAACACCCAGTGTGGTATAAACGGCCCACTCTATGAGAGCAGGGTGCCCGGCTCAGCCCTCTGCCCCGGTACCAGCTGCCGACCTGTCTACTTTCTAAACATTACCCTTGATGGTTGTGTGTCTCATGGTCCAGGGGAAAGAATGGAAAATTACAAGCTGCGGAAGAAGCAAAATGTCAGCGACCCTCCATCAGGGCCCAGGATGGCAGATGGAGCTCATGAAGTCTCCCAGCCTGTCCACCAGAGGTGAGGGTTCCGCTGTGGCTCTTGGGGGTCCACTACTTAGGGGCAGGCATTCTTGCCCCACCTTCCCATTGCACACCCTCTGTTACACTCCATGTGACATTGTGCCTCAGTGGGAGCAGGGTGGATGTGGAAAAAACGGACAGAGAAAAGTGGGGCTTGGGCAGAGCCAGTGTCTCAGAGATCACAGCAGCCCCGAGCCATCCCAGGTTACTCTCTTATCGGGCAGTGGGGGGAGCGTGCAAGGTAAAGCCAGGTGATTTCTATTATCGACTGCAGCTGCGGAGCATCTTGCGGTTCTAAACAAGCCTCCCCTGGCCGTCTCTGGCTGACAGTTTCCTTGAATTGACACCATGCAGTGCAAAGTAGAATAGCAGACCATGTCCTTGTTAGAGCTTTCACTAGCCTTGCGTCGTCGGCACAAGGACGGTATCTCTGCTTGTCTTTAGAGGTCACTGTTGTGCTCAGACCTGGCCACTCCCCCAACACCGCATGCAGTTGCCTGTCACCTTGCACACATCTGCCTCCCACCCAGCGCGATGCCTGCAAGCCTCCGTCTGCAGTGCTGTAGACGTGGCACCTAGGCCAGCCCCTGGCACAGAGGAGTGACCCAGTCCAGGTGTGGTGACAGCTTCGATTCCAGGTGTAAGTGGCACTCACGTCCCTGACACGCTGCCCTTCTCCTTTGTACTTGGAGTGCTCCCAGGGTGGACCTGGAGTCAAGGATCTGGTGCAGGTTGCTTACCTTGAAGTGGCTCTGGAAGCAGTGAGGGGTCAGGGAATTGAGGCAAAGGTGGGTGTTTCCCAGGACAGTGACCACACACTTAGCAGCCCAGGCCACACAATCTTCCTGTCTCACAATCGGGGTTGGCTCTTCTGCTGTCTCTGGGTCCCACGCTCCGAGCTTGTTCAGGTTGTAGAGCTCCGGTCCGGTTTCCCTGCTGGCTGTGGGCAAGGGCGTCCCTTACTTTCCAGAGCCCTCTCTCTGGTCATTGTATGTGCCCCCCCAGCTAGGAGCAGTGTCAATTCCCGCTCAAGCTTAGATCTCTCTTGCTGCTTCCCTCTGATTCCAGCTGGAGAAATCTCTCTGCTCTTAGGGGCACCACCAATGTAGACTGGGCTCATCCAGATGGTCCAGGCTAATCTCCAAATCCTGGACTCTGTAGCTTAACCACACCCATCACATGGACCACAGCATCTTCACGGGTTTCAGGGGTTAGGATGTGGACATCTGTGGGGTCACTGTGTGTCCTATCACAATGGAGAAACCAATAAAGCCTGTGATAGTAAGGGGTTTCCATAGAGGGCAAATGATGCTCAGTCCCACTGAGCTCCTTCTGAGAGATCGTGTGAGCACAATTCCCCTTAGACCAGTAAGGGACCAGGGAAATAGCACGGTTACCAACTCCCCTTCCACAGCAGTCGAGAGTCCGTCCGGGACGTATTAACTCTCCAGCCCTTTCAGCGACGGCAGAGCAAGGAAAAGCATCCCCTCCTTTCCAGAGAAGACCCTGCAACCAGACACAGGTGCTTGGCTGAAGCAGCCTCCACATGTACGGAAATTGTCCACCCAAGGGCAGGTGACCTAGGTGGGCTGAGAGGCTGTGGGTGCACTGATAGGATTCTTGTAAGCACCCATGTTTGCTTGACCTTGAGCAGTACTGGAGACAGTTCCCCCACCCAGAAGCTCGCAGCCTGGAGGGAGGAGAAGCAAGAGTAAAGTGACAGCAGCGAAGCAGTGTACATGCCACGGTGGGGGCAGGGGTACTGCAGGACCACAGGAGGGTCCCTTGTCCAGGCAGAGGCATCTCGCCAGCTGGACAGCAGAAGGGCCACAACCACATGGAGTAGGGGAGAATGAGCCTGTCCTGGACAGCAAGGTCGGCCCCAGCCCCTCATATGACTGCTTGTCCAGGAGGCAAGAGCTGCAGCATCGCCTGGGTCAGACAGGCTCAGGTCCCCTGTCCATCACTACTGTGAATCCCGCTGGTCACTGACAGCAGAGACAGGTGCCCTGCTCGGAGTAGCCGAGACCAGGCTTCCCTCACTTTCGGTGTCCTTCCAGCGTGGCCTGGCTGTCCTGGGGTTTGGGGCACAGCAGCATCCCTAAGCTTTCTTGCTAAACTTGCACATTTTGGGTTCCGCACGTGGAGATTCAGACTTCAGAGAGCTCTAGGAGGAGTCTGGGAATCTGAATTTTAGCATCCCCCTCCCAAGGGATTCTGGTGGATGGGATCCAAGCACATCACTGTCACACAGATGACCCAAGGGGAGGGGCCTCGGCAGCCACCTGGCCCAGCCTGGTTGATGGGAGAGGAATGCAAAGGCAGGGAAGCTCAGCCTCCTTAAGGATAGGGGAAGACCGAACTGCAGAGACTGGCCTCCACTCTCACATGAGCCGTTTATTCACTCCCACCCCTCCCTCAGCCCCAAGTCAGCTCCACGAGGGCGGGACCACGAGGCTCGTGTTGATCCTGTACCTCAAAGCCCAGCACAGTACCTGATGATGAAGTGTGGGTGCGTGGGCAGATGGGTGATGATCCAGTCTGGCAGCATGAATAAGAGTTTGCTGGGCAAAGACCAAGAAGAGGGAGATGGTGTTACTGACAGAGAGCGGGAAACAAAAGCGAGGTGGCAATGCTATGCCTTCGGGGGCACCCCATGCACGGCTGCCGATGGGCGCTGAAGGTGGCTTCTGCCTTCAGTCTGGAAAGTCTTTTCTAGAAATTCAGCCCCCTTCAGGCCTAAAGGCTGAAAAGGAGACCAGGCAATTATGGAGGTGAGGGATTCGGATGTTCCCTCTTGCTGAGGGCCAGAGGAAGGGTGTCCAGAGAGGAGGGGTGGGAAGGAGGGAAAGA